TTTTGAGCCTAGGTTCCGCTCTATAGCACCCTCAATACGAGCTGTATTGAAGTTGCGTAAGTCTCGCCGCATGTATTTGGAGATCTGCCTATTAAGCCGCCTGTAGTCTGACATGTCAGTTGAAGACTGCAGTCGCATCTCACGTCTTTTTCCCAAGAGGCTAAGAGTGTGATCGGAGAGTTTTTGCGTTCTATTTGTGCGGCGGGCCTTATAAAATTTAAGGCCCACGGCATGGACAGTTTCCACGAGCTTAGCGTTAATATCGTCCACAGAGCTGCAATTTTCTAGGCATTGGAAGCGATTATGTAGCTCGAGCTGAAAGCTTTCGGAGTTCTGGATATGGGCACGAGATGGTCGGAGTGTGGACTTCATTAGACGAGATCTTTCCAGCCTGATGTTAATATTCAATGTGCCTCTCACCAATCGGTGATCACTGCCGGTCTTCACCCTTGTGATCACAGAGACATCATTGAATATTTGCCGTTTGTTCGTCATAATGAAGTCTATCTCGTTTTTTACGGAACCATCGGGGCTAATCCAGGTCCACTTCTTCCTGTGGGGCTGCTTTTTGAAGAAGGAGTTCATTTTTTTTTTAAAGTTTTTATAGTGCTAATCTCTGCACTTAAGATTGAACATTAAAACATGTAGAAAAAGTACGAAAAGATTGTCGCCGCTGTGGGAATCGAACCCACGTCTTCGGCATTCGCGGCCTGACGCTCTAGCCACTGAGCTAAACGGCTGATAGCCACAGCGACGAAAATCTTAATAACGCCTTCTTTCTACATTGTTATTTTAGCATTTGAAGCAATGCTTGGCGCATCTATTGTTATATCCTTTCCAGCATACAAACAATTTCGAATATCGTTTTACAACGATAATTCGAACGAAAGATGTCGCCATTGCTTTTATAAATTTTAAAGTTTTTATAGTGCTAATCTCTTCACTTAAGATTGAACATTAAAACATGTAGAAAAAGTACGAAAAGATTGTCGCCGCTGTGGGAATCGAACCCACGTCTTCGGCATTCGCGGCCTGACGCTCTAGCCACTGAGCTAAACGGCTGATAGCCACAGCGACGAAAATCTTAACGCCTTCTTTCTACATTGTTATTTTAGCATTTGAAGCAATGCTTGGCGCATCTATTGTTATATCCTTTCCAGCATACAAACAATTTCGAATATCGTTTTACAACGATAATTCGAACGAAAGATGTCGCCATTGCTTTTATAAATTTTAAAGTTTTTTATAGTGCTAATCTCTGCACTTAAGATTGAACATTAAAACATGTAGAAAAAGTACGAAAAGATTGTCGCCGCTGTGGGAATCGAACCCACGTCTTCGGCATTCGCGGCCTGACGCTCTAGCCACTGAGCTAAACGGCTGATAGCCACAGCGACGAAAATGTCGCTGTGGCTATCAGTCATCTTTCGTTCGAATTATCGTTGTAAAACGATATTCGAAATTGTTTGTATGCTGGAAAGGATATAACAATAGATGCGCCAAGCATTGCTTCAAATGCTAAAATAACAATGTAGAAAGAAGGCGTTAAGATTTTCGTCGCTGTGGCTATCAGCCGTTTAGCTCAGTGGCTAGAGCGTCAGGCCGCGAATGCCGAAGACGTGGGTTCGATTCCCACAGCGGCGACAATCTTTTCGTACTTTTTCTACATGTTTTAATGTTCAATCTTAAGTGCAGAGATTAGCACTATAAAAACTTTAAAATTTATAAAAGCAATGGCGACATCTTTCGTTCGAATTATCGTTGTAAAACGATATTCGAAATTGTTTGTATGCTGGAAAGGATATAACAATAGATGCGCCAAGCATTGCTTCAAATGCTAAAATAACAATGTAGAAAGAAGGCGTTAAGATTTTCGTCGCTGTGGCTATCAGCCGTTTAGCTCAGTGGCTAGAGCGTCAGGCCGCGAATGCCGAAGACGTGGGTTCGATTCCCACAGCGGCGACAATCTTTTCGTACTTTTTCTACATGTTTTAAAGAAGGAGTTCATCATAAAGAGTCCCTCCTTCTCCATGAAGTCAGCCAGCTGCTGCCCCCTTGGGTTCCGTTGCCCTATTCCAAAACTACCTACTCTCAGCTCATTGTCTTTCCTTTTGCCTAGTTTTGCGTTGAAGTCTCCCATTAACACCATGTATTGAGTTTTGGAGGAATGTATGGCTCGTGATATATCCTCATACATTGCCTCCACCTCATCATCGGGATGTGTCGACGTTGGTGCGTAAACCTGTATCACCTTCAGCGAATACCGATTGGATATTCTGAGTATAAGGTACGCAACCCTCGACGAGACACTCTCGATTTTAACAACGTTGTTAATGAGAGACTTGTGGATGATAAATCCGCCACCTCCTTGGGACAGTTGGTCGCCCTCCCGGTGGTAAAACAGGTTGCCGGATTCGAGGATTATCGTGTCCTCCCCCTGTCTTCGGACTTCAGATAATCCTATTATATCCCAGCGCAGCCTGTTCCCCTCTTCTTCCAGCTCTGTAATCTTCTCGTCAGTCCTCAATGTTCTTGCGTTGTATGTTGCCAGGTCCAGTCGCCGTCGTTGGTAGCCGAATCCTAGCCGGGGATTCTTAGCACCCCCTGCCCTGCCGTTACTATGACCGCTACCGTAGCCAGGAATAGCAGGGCTGCCGGGGACTGGGGGCCGCACATTTTGGACTTCTATCATGTAGAGGGGGGGTTTTGCCATAGTTGCCACGCCTGGCAAGCGGGTTGGCAACCGCAGTTCCCCAGACTCCTTGCACCTATAACGCTGCTGCCCGTTATTGGCCTGGCTATTTAGGGTCTGGAGAGTCAAGATGGTTATCCCGCCATCTATCGGTGGCCACCAGATGTTTGTGGCTTGTCCCTCAGTCGCCTCTTACGACACCCACGGGATGAGATGGGGGTGGCTTATTCTTACGCCGGCACCACACGGCAAATGGGTTAACGGTTAATGGGTTGAATTAATTTAAAAGAGACAAAACATACTGTTAGGAGAGGCTTGTAATGCGACGCTGTGGCAACGAATGAAAAAGTTTCTGAATGTATGAATCAGTCAGTTGTAGTTATATAGGATGTTACAAATTTTGTTTCTTTTTTACTTAATTAGTTTATTTTGAAAAATATATTTTTTTAATTATGAATTTTTTTAACGTTAATAATTTTTATGATTATTGGCAAGTAGCGTTAAACGTGTGTTCATTTATTGTTAAGATGGTATATATATATGACAGTAAATTTCGCCGCAAAAAAAATGTTATAATAGCTCAGTCGGTAATCGGGGGCCCCAAAACAGACGGCCGCGGTTCGTATTTCGATCATTTAAACACTTATTTTTTTCTTTAGGTACCAGATCATTTTCTTTATTTTTTATTTTTTTTATTTCCACAATACTTGCTTTACAAAAAACCGAGCAATGCTCGGTTTCCAGGTACTTATTAATTAATAGACAGAAAAAAAGGAAAACTGAACTGTGGAGTAATGATAACTTTACTACTCCCTAAGTTCGACATTTGTATGTATACTTGTTAATCTTTGTCTGGAGGTGCATCCGTCTTACTAGTATGTTAAATTTATTAACTATCCCTTTTTTCTAACCTACATAAATAAAAATATATAAAAAATAATAAAATGATTAGTGACTTGGTGTTTTCGTCGAGCTATATTTTATTGATGTTTCCATTTTTTTTTTGTTTTGTTTTTGGAAATAGTTTTCTTTTTTTATTCTGTTCACTGTTTTTTACATAGAGATGTTAATTTTCATTAGTCGTTATTGTGTTACTGTCTTTAGAATAATGTATCAGATTTGTGTTATAATCAGTAGGTATTATGTTATTATCCTTAAATTAATGTACCCGCTTTGTGTTAATCTTAGTCTAGTTTATTATTTATAATTAAAATCTATCTTAGATATATATTCTTTTAATTGTTAGCATAACTGTGTTTTTTGTTGAAACTAAATAAATATTCATTCATTCATTCAAAATAATTAATATAAATGTTGAAGTCAAAATTTCTTAATTCAACAAAGGCTTATTTTAAGCTCTTATTGAACGTCTAAAACTACCACCGGTTTACTAAACTAGACCTGGCTGCCTACTTCCGACAGGTTCGAGTTCTGAATCAATCGAATTTGACTCGAATTCGTGGCAGTTCGTACCACTGAATCTGACGCCAGCGCACAATCGAGTAGTGGCTCTAATTGGAACTAACTAATATCGGATAATTTTTCGAAAAAAAAATAAGCTATTAACATTTTATCTAAGAAAGATGTTATAACCGTAAACATGGAACATTTGTACAGTTAACAGATTTGATAACGCACGGTTTTGTTTCTAGTTTCGATTCGGTTCGGGAGTAAGATTTTCAAATCGAGTTCGAATCAAGAGTGAGTTTAAATCGAAAACAAAAACAAATTCGAATCGAATTTGAGGAGTAACACGGCTGTTCAGACAGGAACCGACAAGAAATTCTGCGATGTAATCTCTTTTCCGTTATGTATATTATGTACCTTACATGAGATCCCTTGATTTTGTTTATTTTAGAGTCGTAATGAATTCATCTTGACACACGACGGCATTTTTTATTACCTACTGTAAAATTTATGCCGCATTTGTGGTATAAAATATCATTGACTAAATAATAGAAACAAAAAAAAATTGCCTTTTTGCATGGGCTGCTTAGATCAGTAGGGTGTTTCAGCTTTTCCAATTTTTATTTAATAGATCGAATAAAATAAAGTGATTATATGCAGCTAAAACGCAATGTTTCTAAAGTTTTTTGTCTGACGAGCAAATATCCAAATCCAATGACGAATCCCAAAATCAAATGTCATTTGTCAATTGTCATTAGGTACTCATTTTCTATTTTAAAATAAGTGACAGTGCAGTGACAGTGACAAAATTTTCCGTAATATCAAAATATTTGTAGATTTCGAATAGACGCGTGTTTTCAAACTCACCAATAAACATTTGTTAGATTAAAAAAACTTCAAAATGAGTTATATGTTAGGACATCTGCACAATGGCTGGCAAGTGGACCAAGCCATTTTATCAGAAGAGGACCGTGTAGTTGTAAGTATAATTCGACACTAAATCCACAACGAAATTTCTAGATATTAAAACTTTTGATGTCAAATTGTTGAAACCCACATTATATCACGAAATCCCGGTCAATAAGGTTGAAATAAAGTTTGTTACCTATTGTGGTAGGTTTAGCAATATAATAGCAAACATTAGCTTTGTTTATTATTTTTTCTTTTAGGTAATTCGGTTTGGTCATGATTGGGATCCTACATGTATGAAAATGGATGAAGTGTTATACAGTATTGCAGAGAAAGTAAAAAATTTTGCTGTTATCTACCTTGTTGATATTACAGAAGTTCCAGACTTCAATAAAATGTAAGTATTTTTATTCTTTCCATATTAAATTTATGATAAGAGTTTTATTACCCAATTTTATGTCTATTTAATAAAATTTCAATTTTGGATTCAATAATTTTTTTGTTTTTCCTTATTTAAAAAAAATCAATCTCGATCATCCCATTAGTAAATTGGATGAAATGTCAGTCAGAAAAATAAAATGATTTTTGATAAACTTTTAATTTCAAAAACAGAACTTATTATGTAGTCTTAATGTAATAAAAACATTTTAAATTACTCCAAATTTTTTGTTGTAGTCTTATTCTGTAAAAAATTATTAATTATCTGATGTGCTTGAACATTGATTTCAGGTATGAGTTGTATGACCCATGCACCGTAATGTTCTTCTTCCGCAACAAGCACATAATGATTGATCTGGGAACTGGTAATAATAATAAAATAAACTGGCCACTGGAAGACAAGCAAGAAATGATTGATATTATTGAAACAGTGTATAGAGGTGCTCGAAAGGGACGAGGTCTTGTTGTCTCGCCTAAAGACTACTCTACCAAGTATAGATATTGAAGAATCTTTTCTTGGAAATATGAAATTTTCAAGCATTATTATCTTATTGCACTTTTCTCACCAATGAGGGTGGTATGATAAATGTTGTGTAAATTATTACCACATATTCTGGAATAAAGCATTGTTTTAAATGTTTTATGAAGACTGTTATTTATACAAGAACATAATGTATATAAAAGTGATAACTTTCAGGTCTCATGTCTTTTATTTATAACACAATTAGTTCCCTACAATCACTTATATACTTCTCTTGCTGTGACTCTTATTGTAGTTTTTTTTATTTTTTATACAAATCCTTTGACAATAATAATTTCATTATAATTTCTTATTTCTTACATGAATACTACATATCGACGACGTAGTGACATGAACTAACATTTTGACGTAATTGAGATTATTGCTTAGTTGAGTGTAATATAATATTTTGCATGCATTCGTGAAGACATCAAACTTGATTGAAATACATTTAGTAGGATATTAAAAAATCACAATAACTAGTACTAAGTAATTCAGAGTTAATGTTTCTCACAATCAATCAACCATCTACAAGAAAATCCGTGCAAACTCTGGAACAGTGAGATATGGACTAGCGGGATATGTATGGTGTGCAAACGTGTTTATTTTGCGAAAAGTAGTGTAACAGTCAGGTTAAATGTTGTTTACAGTAGTGTAAATTGTGAAGAACAAATTGAATTTAACTTAAGTAGGGATCTGCAACAGTTTTCTCGTTGCAGGAATGGGCATGTATGTCCGAGTAAATATCCCAACCCCACAGTTGACCGGCGTGAAATATAAGTGTTATAAGTCCGCATTTCGTCTGGTCAGTGAGGTAGCCGTGGCCACTATGTAATAGGGTGGCAATGTATCTGCAACCCAATGGGAATTGCAAATTTAAATAAGCAGCGGTTATCGGCTAACATCTGGTGAACTGCAGGTTCTTTTGCCACCTTAAATTATTTTTATACGAGTTGTATGACGATGATAGAGAGAGATAAGATAGTGACCTACCAGCAGATTCGGGCAAGCTTAGGCATTGATATGAGTCAAGAACAGAAAATATTATTCGACCATTTAGGTGTCAGAAAACTTCGTATTAAATGGATTCCCTATATTGTACCGAAGAGCAGAAATGCTTCTCGCGTGGATTGGCGACGTGAAATGTTAGAAAAGTCCAAAAGAGGTGACTCTAAAGCTTGAAATCGTCACTGGTGATGAAAACTGGATGTATTTTTACGAACCCGAAACTTAAAGACAGCTTGCTTAGTGGGTGTCCTTTGATCGGCCAACTAAAGTAAAGAATGGAAGAAGTCAAGGGAAAAAGATGATTGCCCCTTTTTTTGTTTTAGCTGGAAACTGATAAGACTCTGTCAAATTTATAAGGAGAGGGTCCACCTTATGACGCAATAATACAAGCCTTAGCTGCTGCTTGCCTCCCACAATATGAAAAATTATAAAATCAACATACCAGCCATATCTTTTGAAATTCTGTATACTGTGGAAAGGTTATTTCGCAACAGTTGTGCTGTTAGATGGAAGCATTGACTGGTATGTTAACTATTGTTTGCCTGTTGTCTTGGAAAATGTTCGAGAGCAGCGTCCTCGATGCAGGATCCTTCTTCACCACGACATTTTAGCATATAATTATAATGTCTTATAGGGATGAGGCGTATATACTGGCACAGGTATAAATACCCAGTATGAACATACCAGTACGCACACCGGGTATGTACGGCAGAGGCCCGTTCCATACCCGATAGGTATGGCCGCCTCGTCCGACGGTGGCGGTATATACGCTCGCGACAACCCGCCCGCACACCGGGTATGTACGGCAGAGGCCCGTTCCATACCGATAGGTATGGCCGCCTCGTCCGACGGTGGCGGTATATACGCTCGCGACAACCCGCCCGCACACCGGGTATGTACGGCAGAGGCCCGTTCCATACCCGATAGGTATGGCCGCCTCGTCCGACGGTGGCGGTATATACGCTCGCGACAACCCGCCCGCACACCGGGTATGTACGGCAGAGGCCCGTTCCATACCCGATAGGTATGGATGGCCGCCTCGTCCGACGGTGGCGGTATATACGCTCGCGACAACCCGCAGGCCGAATAGGTACGAAGTTCCCCGAACGCTTACGGCGGCTTTTCCCGATCATGCCCGAATTGAAACCTATGATTTAGGCATTTTAAACCAAATAATTCCTTGAGATAAATTTATTCTTTGTTTCTATGACCATAACTTAAATAAATAATTCCGTAATAAGGTTACAGTAAACAGTAATATTTATTTTGAATTACTTTTTTTTGATAATAGGGTTCTTTACGTTAGTAAAGATGGAGCTTATTTTAGACTGGTTAAATCTCAATTTAAAAAAACTGATTGCTAACAAAAACATTTAAATGTTCCAATTCCAACCAAAGGTTCAATTCGTTTGATTCGACCGCGTCTCCAAAAGGAGGCCTGTACATAACAAATACCTATAGGTATTTTGATACTGGGTTTTAGCACCGAGTATACGGCGATACCCGTACCTTTGAGGCCGGGTATAGAATGTTGCAGGTATATCTCATGCCTAATGTCTCATCTATGACTACGACAGCGCTACAGCCTGGGTAGGGATGAGGCGTATATACTGGCACAGGTATAAATACCCAGTATGAACATACCAGTACGCACACCGGGTATGTACGGCAGAGGCCCGTTCCATACCCGATAGGTATGGCCGCCTTGTCCGTTGGTGGCGGTATATAACGCTCGCGAGGACCCGCCGGCCGACCCGTCAGATAATAGCTACCGATCGAGCCGAGGTCCGGCCCTCGGGCACCCTTGAATCGGAATGCTAAACGCGTGTTGAGTGACAGCCCAAGCCGAGGTCCCCTCTCGGGGACCCATGAACCTGATCATTCCATTGAGCGCCGGCCAAATCGCCCTAAGAGCTTGGCGGCCTCCCAAACCGGTGATAATAATAGCGTGACGGCCCGAGCCGAGGCTCCCCAGGGAGGCCTCGAGCTTAGTCACCACAACGCGTAATAAAAGTACGCCGAGGTTCAGGCTAGACGCCTCGTGCTCTAGGCCACCTCAAGCCCGTCGGAACTGTAAAGGCCCCTAAGGCCAACAGTGGTTCAAAAAAAAAAAAAAACCGCCGGCCGAATAGGTACGAAGTTCCCCGAACGCTTACGGCGGCTCTTCCCGATCACGCCCGAATTGAAACGTATGATTTAGGCATTTTATACCAAATAATTCCTTGAGATAAATTTATTCTTTATTTTTATGACAATTAGGTAGATAAATAATTGCGTAATAAGGTTAAACAGTAATGTTTATTTTGAATTACTTTTTTTTTATAATAGGGTTCTTTACGTTAGTAAAAATGGAGCTTATTTTAGACTGATTAAATCTCAATAAAAAAAAAACTGATTGCTAAAAAAACATCTAAATGTGCCAATTTCAACCAAAGGTTCAATTCGTTTGATTCGACCGAGTCTCCAAAGGAGACCTGAACATAACTAATACCTATAGGTAGGAAGGCCGAAAACGTATCTGATACAGTTGTTGGATAGGCGCTCAAGCTTGTTGAGGTCTTTGTTCAAGTCTGGGTAACAAACGGGTAAAACACTTCTGCATAGTCAATTATTGGTAGAATAAGTGACTGGACAAGTAAGAGGTCGATCTTGAAAGGGAGACAATTCTTCAGACATAGAGATTTTATGATTTTCTAAGATCTTTCGATGTTACCCTTATGAGAAAACGCACAGTTAATACAGTCTTTCCACGTGTCTGCCACTCTTTCCTTGACAGGATGTCATTTCAGTCATTTCAGTAAATTTTTCAATTGTCTTCAATCTTTCTATTCTTTATCACTTGCTCATTGTTGATTAATTTTAAATAAATCTATAAACATTTAATTCTGTATTTATTTGCAATACCTCTTAATCTAGTTAAATAAATCCACAGCTCTTTGTTACATCGTACGTACATCTTATGATCTAAAATTTTAGCCACAAAAACAGATTTACATCATTTAAGTAGTTCCACTGGAGAATCCTGGGTATCTGCGCTGATCGGAAGACCTATAAGGTTTCTGTCGATGGCCCGTTTAGCTAATCAAATCACTGTTCGGCCCGAGGCGTAGTGCTCAACATGCGCTCAAAGTTTCGGCGTGTAGCACTACTGGTCGGGAGAATGTGTAGATGTAGTGCTTTATTTTTTGCATTCTGTCCCTAGAGCTGTCAGGTGTCACTGGATAATCCTAGCGCCGTACTTCAGGAATAGAGCTTTTTATTCCAGTATCTACAGTCCCCAGTGAAGGCAGAACCCAGCCCTGCTTCGGTTGCTCCCGCAAGGTAGCGTCTTATCGGGCCACGACCGTTATTGTACCGTTTAAGGATGAATAAATAGAAAATATTTAAAAAAGGAAAATGATTGTAGCGACAATGTTTATTGATCGTAAGGGGTTCCGCCGAGACGTAGCGAGTGGGGCCGCGGGGCTCAGCGCTGGTCGTCGGGCCGCTCGGGGGGCCGGTCGTCGTCCAGGCGCCAGTCGGCCGCGCGCGGCGCCCAGATCGAGGCCAGCGAGCGGAACGGGTCGTAGGCGCGCGGCGGCCGCGGCGGCGCGCCGAAGCCGGGCGGGGGCCGCACCGCGCCCGCCGCGCCCCACGCCCACGCGCCGCCCCACGCGCCGCCCCGCCGCGCCGCCCACGCCGCCCACGCCGCCCACGCCGCCCACGCCCGCCTCCTCCGGACCTATTCCACGGAATAGCTGCCGAGTCTGAACATGATCCTGTCTCATGTGCCGAAGGGTGTGGGTTCGATCCCCACTTCTAGAAAGCATTGTGTGATGAACGATTTTCTAGTGTATTGATTTATATGCATATCTATCATAAGTGTTTATTTATACTTTTTGTTAAGATATTTAAGTTTGTAGTAGCAGTATTGACGGTACAAACTTCGCTCAGTTTCAGGTTTGAACATACTTATTTATTTAATTTATGAAGGGCGTTCAATGCGTTCGTAGGAAAGAATGTCTACCGACCGAGGTAGTCGTGCGCGGCGGAGGCGTAAGGGCGCGGCGGCGGCGGCGAGCGCCAGGCCAGCTCGCCGCGCGCCGCGCCGCCGTTGAAGTAGAAGAGCGAGTGGTCTGGCGCGGCAGGCGCGGGCGCAGCGCGCGGCCCGGGCGAGCGGCGCCGCACGTCCGAGCCGATGGGCGCCAGCGCGCCGCGCGCCGCCACCACCGAGCTCCAGGAGGCGCCCCAGCGCAGCGCCGCGCCGGCGCTCACGCCCCGCGCCTCCACCTCGGCCGGCGCCTCCGCGCCCGTCTCGCCGGGCTCGGCGGGCTCGGCGGGCGCCGGCGAGGCGCGCGACGGCGGCGCGGGGGCCCGCTCGCCGCGCCGCTTGGCGCCCTTCTCCTTGCGCGCGGGCAGCTTGGCGGGCGCGCGGGGCGCGCGCGGGCGGCGCCTCCGCCGCGCCCTGCGGCCGGGCGCGCTCGCCGCGGCGCGCCGCCTCGGCCGCCTCGACCGCCTCGCGCCGCGGCCGCGCCCCGCGCTCGGGCGTGCCGGCGGCGGCGCGCGCCTCCTGCTCCGCGGGCGCCGGCGAGAGCTTGTCTTCGGCGGCCTCGCCGGGAGAGTCGCGCTCGGCGGCGGTCTCGCTCTCGTCGGGCTCGGAGCGCTCGTCGAGCTCGCCCGACGTCGAGTCTTCGGATCCGAGAGAGACGGCGTACTCGTCGCCGCTGTTCGATGGACGCTCCTCCTCGTCGTCGTCGTCGTCGTCGTCGGGCTCCGGCTCGGGCTCGTAGTCGTCCGTGTCGGGGGGCGTGTCCGGTCGCGCCTCGAACGTTTCGTCGTCGAGGAGCGGGGCGGCGAGGTCCTCTATGCGGGGCGACGAGGGCGGGTCGGCTTCCAGCGAGGCCGAGTCGGCGTCCTCGCTCGAGCGGGAGTCGTCGTCCTCCGCCCGGCGCAGCATCTCGGCCCGCCAGCGATCGAAGGCGCGCCGCTCGGCCTGCGGGTCGAGCGCGGGCAGCGGGCGGCGGGGGGGGCGGCGGCGGCGCGGCGGCGGGGCGGGCGGGCCCGGCGCGGGGGGGGGGGGGTGCGGGCGCGGCGGGTGCAGGGGCGGGGGCGGGCGCGCGCAGGTCGAGCGGGTGCGGCGGCGCGCAGCGCGGGCTCCCAGGGCGGGCGCGGCAGGGCGGCGGCGCAGCGCGGCAGCAGGCGCGCGGGCACCGTGGCCAGCAGCGCGAAGTCGGCGCGGCCGAGGTCGGAGCGCAGCTGCAGGCGCGCGTGGGTGCGCGCCAGCGTGAAGTCGGGCGCGAAGGAGAGGTGCAGAGCGCGCGACTCGTTGGGCGCCAGCGCGAGCGGCGCGCACGGCTGCAGCAGGAAGCCGCGCGCGCGGCACGCGGCGCCGGACAGCCGCCACTCGCGCAGCCGCACGCGCACGCGCCCCGTGTTGCGCACCACCAACGCGCGCCGCACGCCGCCCGCCCCCGCGCCGCACTCCTCCACCTGTCGAGCGACACCCCGAGTTCGGTCATCTTTTCCTAGCGGCCTCGGCTCCTGAGAGATCTGATAACCACGACCCTCGAAAACTGTCTAAATATTGAAGACTATGTTAACAAAATAATGAGTACCGCCCATAAATTGAGAAATGCGAGTCTAATGCGCTATATGTGAAAAGCAAAGTTAATCAGTTGCAATCTGGCAAACAAGTTCAAAATAAAGTAAAGTCCAAGGGTCCAAGGTGTTATGTGTGCAATAAATATGGTCACATCAGTAAAAATTGTCGCAACAAGAAGAAGGAACAAAAATCAAATGAGCAAACTGATTCTACCATTAAAAACTATATTTTCATTAATTACAACAGGTTATGGGCCCAGATATATATAGATTAGATAGATATAGATTCTGGAGCTTCAATGCATATGACAATGCACCGTGAATTGCTTTATGATGAGATTTCACCTCCGGTTACCACAATAATAGTGGCTGATAACAAGAGATTAGTTGTTAAAGCATGTGGGAAAGTTAATCTTAATGTTGTGAACAAACAAGGCAGAATTGACTCAATTAAGGTACAAAATGTTCTATATGTTCCTGAGCTGGCTACTAATCTCCTCTCTGTGAGTCAGATAATAAATAGTGGTTGTCAAGTTCAATTTGACAGTCAAGGCTGTATAATTCTAAATAAAGATAATAAGCAAGTAGCAGCTGCTAAAGTTATAAACAATATGTACAGGTTAAATACATGTAGTATTCCAGCTTTTATATCTACATCAACAGAGAATGATTCTTTCTTGTGGCATCAGAGAATGGCGCATTTGAATTTTGAGGATTTAAAGAAATTATTGGAGAGTGCAAGAATCAAAACAAATAAGGCAGATAAAGTGATATGTGTTTCATGCTTGAAAGGAAAGCAGACGAGAATCCCGTTTCCTTCCGAAGGTTCTAGAGCACAAGCGAAACTAGGACTTGTTCACTCAGATGTCTGCGGAAAAATGAAAGTACCAAGCCTTGGGGGAGCTCAGTACTTTGTTACCTTTGTTGATGACTTCACAAGGAAGGTGTTTGTTTACTTCATTAAAAACAAATCAGAAGTCTTCCAAAAATTTCAAGAATTTAAAGCCTTAGCTGAAAATCAACTTGATTCAAGAATAAAGATACTTCGCACTGACAACGGAAAAGAGTATCTGAGTAATAAATTTCAAGCTTTTCTAAAGAAGTCAGGTATCACTCACCAAACCTCCGCTCCCTACACACCACAGCAAAATGGTCTAGCGGAGAGAATGAACCGGACTTTGCTTGAAAGAGCTAGATGCATGCTTATAAATGCTAAACTTCAGAAACATTAATGGGCAGAAGCTGTGTCGACTGCTGCTTATATCACAAATCGATGCCCAACAAAAGCTCTTGCATTTTTAACACCAGAGGAGAAATGGAGTGGGAGAAAGCCAGACATTACTCATATGAAAATATTTGGTTGTGAAGCATTGGTGCATGTACCGAAAGAAAAAGCAAAGAAGTGGGACTCAAAGGCAAACAAAATGTTATTCATTGGTTATAGTGAACAGAGCAAAGGATACAGGTTCGTAGACCCTAAAACGAAAAACATTGTAATAAGCAGAGATGTGGTCTTTCTTGAAAGCTCGGTCGAAAGAGATTATTCTGTTGTACCACTTTCAGAGTCTGTCCCAGTATCATGTCAAAGTGATGACAGCTCTAAAATACAGGAAACCACGATGGAACAGTCTGAAACAACTGAAGACGACTTAAGTGAAGATTTTTACTCCGATGATGGGTCTCTGTATGAGCCTGATGTAACCATAGATTCATCAGAGTTAACAAATAATGTTACAACAAGATCTAAAACATGATTATGCAAGATGCAAGCCAATGAAGAAGGAGAAGCAAATACTTACAAATGTACCGATGAAATTATAAGAGAACGGGATGTTCCACTAACATATAATGAAGCATTATCTTCTGATAACCCAAATGCTGCAAAATGGAAAGAATCCACAGAAGAGGAGCTAAAGGCACATGCAAAGAATAAAACATGGCAATTGATTGAAAAGCCTGAAGGAGTGAGGATAATTGGCTGCAAATGGGTCTTCAAAATAAAAGACGTGCCTTCTGGTCCACTCTACAAATCAAGATTGTGTGCCAAGGGATGTAGTCAAAAACAAGGCATTGACTACAAGGAGATATATGCCCCAACTGTAAGATACGATTCAGTACGTGTACTACTTTCAGAAGCAGCTCAACACAACTTGCATATTGTTCAGTTTGATGTCAAAACTGCATTTTTATATGGAGATGTAAAAGAAAATATTTACATGACGCCACCAGAGGGCTTGGAAGCTCCTGATAATATGGTATGTAAACTTAACCGTTCAATTTATGGTCTTAAGCAAGCACCAAGGTGCTGGAACCAAAAATTTGACAATTTGTTAAAGAAATTTGGTTTTGAAAGCTGTCATAAAGACAGGTGTGTGTATGTAGGAAAAGTAAATGACAACAAGGTGTATTTACTGCTGTATGTAGATGATGGACTTCTAATGTCAAAATGTAAAAATACACTCAATAAACTTATGTGGGAATTAAAGAAAAATTTTGAAATAAAACAGTGTGATCCAAAGAACTTTGTGGGACTACAAATTGAAAGAACAGGAGAAAGTATTTTCATTCATCAAACAAAATACACTGAGAAATTACTGTACAAATTTAAAATGCAGAATGCTAACTGTAATAATATTCCAGTTAATCCCCACATTACACTGGAGAAGAATGCAGAGGATCCTGATAAGAAGATTCCATACAGAGAGGCAGTAGGCTCACTGATGCATCTAGCGGTGGTAAGCTGGCCCGATATTATGTATGGAGTTAATCTTGTAAGCAGATACCTAGAATATTATGATCATACTCATTGGAATGTTATTAAGAAAATACTGAAGTACCTAAAGGAAACCAAAGATTATGGTTTGTGTTATTCAAAATCACAACTGAATATAGTAGAAGCTTACTGTGATGCTGATTATGCCAAAGACATTTCCACACGAAAGTCTTTAACGGGCTATGTGTTTATTAAAAATGGAGCTGCCATAACATGGGCAACACAACGACAACAAAGTGTTGCTTTGTCTACCACTGAAGCGGAATTCATGGCAGCTTGTTCTGCAGCAAAAGAAGCTATGTGGTTAAAAGGACTGTTAGTGGAAATAGGTGAATTTAATCAGAACTCAATATGTTTGAATATAGACAATCAAAGTGCAATTTGTTTAATTAAAAACGTGGATTACCATAGGCGTTGTAAGCATATTGAAGTGCAATATAATTTTGTTAAAGATAAATATGCAGAGAAGCAAATTGATTTGAATTATGTATCTACTAACGAACAATTTGCTGATGTTTTTACAAAAGCTCTTCCTAAAGATAAGTTTCAGTATTTTAGGAAAAGAATTGGTGTTCAGAACTTAAAATAATAACATCATCTTATTTGTACTTGTAAAACATTATTTATAGATACATTGTTTTAATGAGAGTTTGTCAAACTAATATGTGCCATGAAAATGTATGTTCATTTTGAAAATTAACTTGTTTTAAGAAATGGGTCCAAATTAAGTGGGAGTGTTGTATTAGTAATTTGAACCCTATTTTATCTGTGCTCTACAACTATTCATGTAACACATTTTTTGTCTATGTCTCTTCTTCTTGAATCTCTCTAATAAAACTACGTTCTACCATTAAAAACTATATTTTCATTAATTACAACACGGCCGATGGAATATAAATCACTGGGATTCTACACCATGTTACATCTATGAACTACATGTATAAAATGTTCCTGGGCAACCAGAAAGTATATGGAGGGCAACAGATCAGTGACTTATTTTCAAAATACTTCTGTACCCATATATAATAGTAATCGTGACACAACCTCACATATAAGTCCCAATAATTATCACCTCTCTATTAGTTCGTGCGTTTTCTCGAAATCAGATGTCTTAAAAGCCCTAAGACAAATCGATACTAACAAAGGACCTGGTCCAGATGCCCTACCACCTGTTCTTTTCAAGACATGTACAACCCAACTAGTAACGCCGCTACATTTCATATTTAATAAGTCTCTCGAAATAGGTAAGTTTCATACATAAACGTGGTGACAGGTCAGATATAGCCAATTACAGACCAATCTCCATCTATGTACCATAGGGAAAGTATTTGAGTCGACCGTCGTCGAGGTCCAGAAAATTCTTGTTTTTCATTTAAAGACGGTAATCAATTCTCAACAACAGGGGTTTCTTCTAGGCAGATTAACCACATCGAATCTCTTTGACTTTGTCACCGATACAATTGATGCAATTGAAAATAAAAATGAAGTTCACGCAGTATACACAGACTTCTCCAAGGCCTTCGATGTGGTGAATCATTGTATCCTTATCCAAATACTTGGTCACGCTGGCATATGTGGCTCTTTACTTAGGTGGTGCGAGTCTTATCTGCAAAATCGCTCGCAACTGGTCTCTGTTCGTGGATTTAAGTCCCTACCTAAGAAAGTTCCCTCGGGCGTGCCTCAAGGGTCGCATCTTGGGCCTCTTTTCTTTCTCGTATTTATAAACGACCTATGTTCCACAATAAATTCCAGCTTCAAATTGTTCGCTGACGATTTAAAGATCTACCGAACAGTAAAATCGATTGAAGATATAAGAACCCTAAAATGACCTCGAATCTATTAATACATGGTGCCTTAGAAATAATATTGTTCTTAATGCCTCAAAATGTTGTCATATCAAATTCACCCGTAAACGCGACCCATGCAACGCAACATATGTAATAAACAACATTCCATTAAACGAGGTCACGAGTACGCGTGATTTATGAGTTATTTTGGATCAAAAGTTAGAGATTTTCGCGAGCATATAGACCAGATTACTAAAAAGGGGGCGAAACTAGCAGGCTTTATGATAAGGCAAACAAAACCATTTAAGGACCCAGAAATTTCTATTACC